ATGGATACTTTACCAAACGCTATCTATAACTATTTATATCTGAGAATGTATCAAAATAAATGTTCTTCATCTATATATATGTAAAGTTTAGATGAGTTTGGAAGCTTTATTTTCGATTCATAGGTAACGTATTTCATGTCATTATTTATTCTTTTGTTTTTGTTGAAAATGGGGGAAAATGTTGAAATGCGAAATCAACTCAAATGAAAGAGGTAAAAAAGAATCAATGCATATAAAATATGAATTCACGGTCTTTTTTTGCATAACATAAAAGTAAAACATTCAAATATACATTTTTTCTTTAAATATTTATCGGTTATTTCGCAAATATTTTGGTTCGGTTATTCTTGAATGCCTCAGTAAATATTGAATTTCAATAATGCCTTTGATTGTTGTTGACAATTGTCGTGAGCGGATGTATTCATCAAACAAACTGACCGGACACATTGACCTTGCGTTTCTTTAGATGCTTTCATTTTGGCATAACATTTTTACCCTTTATTTTCTTATGGGCACATTGTTTTTACCTACCCTTCGACTCGAAAGTTATTGTTCATTCAAAGACAAAATACCTTCGAAAATCTCATATCTTTCCGAATATTTGTGCTGCAAAAATGAGAATTCTAAAAAATTGGCCAACCAAATAAAAACGATCCATTGCAAAAAAAAATTCAAATGTATAACGCAATTTTATTTTGACTAAAGTGTAAATATATCGTTTTTTTTGGGAACTTTATTCTTACACATGTAAATGTAACGTATGTTTACTGTGTATGTAACTATAGTTGTGAATAAAATTCTCTGTAAGCAATTCCAAGTGTATGTCTAGTTTGAAATAAAAAAAAATATGCGTGGAAAAATGCTTGTGAACATATTATGATGTTTAAATTCTAAGCTTGCACGTAAGTGGATTGATCAATCCCTGTTGAAAATCTGTACATTTTCAAGAATTTCATCGTTTTTATAACTCGTTTGTATTATATTCCCTTGCACGCGAAGCACGTATGTTGTCAAAAGTTACTCGAAAATTTAGCAAAACACAAAGTGAATGTTTCGTATAATAAAAAGTCAAAACGACTCAAGTTCAGAGTGGACTAAAATCCCATGTGAACGACATGTACGATTCACTCTAAATTGTTAAAATGCATGTTCAACGCTGTCATCCAACTGTTTAATAGTATATCTGATAATGCGCCGCAAAGTACTGAGTACAAGTGTTCATGTCTCTTTGAATCAAGTCAATACACAGTGTTATCCGGTTGCCGAATTTTCGAGAGATTTTGGTCAATATTTGGTTTGTGTGTGTGTGTATGTGGCTGAGCATTTAATATTATGATGGTTTAAATAAATAAATGGGGTAAAACTACTTGGTCCCAATGAAAACAATGGTCAGCTATGCAGAAAAATTGAAGTGAGACGAGTCTCAGACGACTTAAAAAATGTCGAAAGCTAATAAAGAAAGAAATATATCATGGGAAAACTACAGAGATAATGCTATGACCACAATTTCCATATTTATTTGCTCGCAATGATAATGTTGTCTTTAGCAAAAACAACGACTTTGCATTGTTGGTGTTTGTCGTAGACTAAAACTTGTATTCACTCTCTTTGAAATGTAAATTTTTCCCAATAAAAACTACCATAAAGAATTTAACGAGCTGTATTCGGTGGCTATTACTCTCCGCAGAAGGTCTGCAATTATGATAGCTCTGAATATCAGAGACGTGCCTCCAGCATTCAAGTACAAAATGACACCACAACTGGTTTGGTGTCTATTGAATGACCAGTGAATTATACCATCAATTACTCAGACTTAAGCTTTTTTAGTGGACATAGAATATATATGTAGAATTGCTAGCTTTTTTATATAAATAGATTAACCACGACAGCAACCATGTTGCAACTACAATTTATTCATCTCTGTATCCAAATTAAAAAAATTACGGATTTACGACAATGGTTTGTTAATTTTAAGAATATACATTTTCATCTTGGAAAACAAATTGTAGAAAAGAATCTTAAAACTGTCGGCGGTGTGGGGGTTCGTCCAACCACTTTAATCAGCCACTGATCCTAGCGTGTATTGACTTTAATCATACTAAATTATTAACTAGAATATTGTCTGTGTTATGAATATGAGTTTTTTTGAAAAAAGAAACGAAACAATTCGTTTTGCGAAGTCATGTAACATTAGCGTAGATTTTATCCATCTAAAATTGTTTCCGATTTTATTAGCACTGACATGAACAAAATCCTAATGTAACTTTGAAAACATTTTCGAAATGGAAATCGTTGAATTTATCGATCTAAATTCAAATGAGAAGAAATATTCGTTTATTTGACTGGCGCGATGTCAGAAATTGCTTAAAGACGAAAAAATTCAGTGAAGTGATTTCATTATATTGTTGTTGCACAACACACACCAGTGTTCAATAGATATATATCAAATATTGATAAAAAACTAAAATAATATACTCTATAATTCAATTATTAATCATACGAAGAAATGATTAATAAAAGATATATTTCATAAGGCATCACTTTTTTCTAAGATTTTTTTTGTGTTTTACGTACATTGAAAACATCAATATTCTTTGAATTCAATTTCAAAATAAATAGTCTGCAATCGTATTACAATCGAAAACATTTGCTTTTCAGCATCTGTACATTTGTAAATATTTTATATCGTCATTTCACTTTCTTGGAATTGCATTTTGTTGTACACGCATTCACAAACAGATTTAAAGAATATAAATTGAAACGGGTGAATCGAAGAAATTATATCAGAACAGAATCTGAACGTAGAACAACCCCACAGTTGAAAAAAGATTTTATAATGAAAAATCAAGTTGTTTTTATTTTTGTAGTTCTTTGCATTGGTCAGGTGAGAGCAACATTTTATATCATGAAATAAAGGTTTTTAAATTCATGGGTAAGTGTTATCTTTTCATTTTTTTAAATTTAGGATGTAATTTCTGCACCTTGTGATGGTGGTGGAGAGTCCACTGGAGACAGTGATTGGAAAAGAATTGATGGACAAGATTTCCAACGAAGACAACGTTATTTTCGACAATATCCAAGATTTCCTCCAATGCTCTCATGGTGGCAAAATATTCCGCCAATGAACCAAGATCCAACGACTCAAAATACACCGTTATCTCCAAATCAAGTTACTCCAGCTGCTCCAATTATTCCAGCTACTCCAATTACTCCAGTTGCTCCAATTACTCCAGTTGCACCACCCAATCCACTCAATTCAGTGGTATTATCTAAATAAACAATAAACCGAAGTTTCAAAATGTCAATACATTTTCGGAAAATAATCAATAAAATTATAAGAAAGAAATAAGCTATATGATTATTTCAAATAATTTATTTGTCAAGGTTTAAGTACTTTAAGATGAATTCATTGAGATTAAATCCGCTTCATATTCCTTACACT